CATGAGTTTTTGTTTTTCCTAAAACAAACAAAAACAAGATTGAAATTCATTTAATGTGAAATTTAGTTTTATGTTCATCATGAAACTATATTTTTCTGTATCATCATCATCAACATCATCATAATCAACACAGGCTGTCAAGCAACAACTTTATAAAAAAAATTTAAAATGAGGGTATTTTGAGGGAAAAAATGGCAAAAAATGACAAAAAATTATTGAAAATATGAAAAATTCTACAACTTTTTTTTTAAAAAAATAAATCAGAAATCATCAAAATGTCAAAAATAGTATAAAATAAATAACAAAATAAAGATAACACCAAATAACTTGCAACACCAAAGATAGTTCAAAATAATTAAGAAGTTCACAACAACATTTTTTTTAAAAAACTTTTTTGATTTTTTGAAACAAAACTTTCAATTTCACTTTTTTTTTAAACCAATATTTACTCTCAACTTTTTTTGTTTATTTCTATGCACTGTAGCATTTTCAATTTTTTTTTTTTTTTTTTTTTTTTTTGCACTTTTTATCATTTTAAGGGAAAGTTTTATACTTATCATGTCTTCTTTATTGATGTCACTTTGCATAGACTTATCATGTCTTCTTTATTGATGTCACCTTGCATAGACTTGGTCAGTTCATTCAGCATTCTATGAGTAAACTGAAACTCTAGAACTGCATTTTTCTCATCATTTTCAAGATTTTTTTTTTCTTTTTGATCAAGACTTTATTTTTGTTTTCATGAACTATTTCAAGCATTCTTTTGTGTTTTTTTTCTTTATCAATAATATCTTTATCAATAAATTAACATGAAAAAAAAGTTCTTTTCTTTTTCTTCGTTTGCTTTTCTTTTTTTATATATTCTGTGAGCATTTTGCATTGCTTGAATAATATCTTTAGAGAGGCATCAATAATATATGTTCCATTGCAAGTTCTTGCACATTCCTTTGATATTCTCAGAGCCATTAATATTTCATCATTTAGTTTTACTCGCTAAGTCAATGTATTTTTATTATCTGATAAACTTCGCTCTTCACTAGCGTTGCCATTCTGAAAAATTAAACAGCTGTTAATAACTTTACTGAGATTCACATACTTAGTTTTTCCATATTTGTTGCCACTTTTAAAAACTTAAGCTCAGTAAAAGTCAACTCTTGTTAAGTTTTTTGTATCAGAATCATTTGAGATATTAGCTGCTTGATTTAATTTCCATTTATTTTTAACAATTGATACCTATACAAAATAAAGAAAAAATTCTTATGAAAAAATTAATAATATTTAAATCTAAAGGAAAATTAATATTATTTAAATCTAAATTAACCTACAATATTACAAAATCTTAAAAAATTATAATATACATAAACTGAACTTATGCAAATTAAATTAATAAAGTACATTTAAAAAAAAAGCAACCCAAAACTGCGATTAAATATTAAAAACTCACCTTTCTTTCCTTTATTTTATGTGACATCATAATTTCTAATTACCCGATTGCATTAATAGTCCAAGGTTCAAATCACATTTGAGCACTCAAACAAGTAAAATCTTTTAATACCTGAGAATCAAGTTGAAGTTTTTTTTATAAGTGTTTTACTAAAGATATATATCCATCTCTCATTTGCTGTAAGCAGACTTTACTTTTTTTTTTTTTTTTACATGAAATTTTTTTCACCTTATGATTACTTATTTACTTTTTAAAACTTGACATCAGTCAGAATGAATAAATAACTTTTTATATATATATATAATAAAATGTTAAAAAATTTAATAACTTATCCAACAAATATTAGTTTGTATTTCTTCTTAAATAAAATGTGTAACAAAATATCAAAAAGAAAACTACTTGGTTTTTAGCTTTCTCGCCAAAATCCATTTTATTTAATTCAAGGTGGATAATTGAATTAGAAGAATCATTTGTTGATCTTCTGAAAGTTTAAGAAAACGCATCATCAATGATATTAAAAGATCTTTCATTTTATAAAATAAAATACAAACAAGTTATCCTTTATCTTGGAATATGGTCAAGTATTTTTCAAACCAGAGAGCTATACCAAAAAGAACACAAGTAACTCTTAAAAACGATGGACACGAGAAACTCTTAAAAATTCCCTATAATATGTATCTAATAAAAAAGTTTAACAAAAAACACTATAAGAAACAGACGGGCTCTTCTAATGCTTACTGAGTCTTGAATCTTTTGGGTTTTTTGCTAGTTTTAGATGGCTGAATTGGTTTTTTTGCTCGCTAGATGTCTTATCTAGTTTTTATTCTTTTGACTATTGTTTGCCTTTGTCAAGAGCTTTTACTTCAAATATTATATTTTTACTTCTAAACATCAGTAACTAGGTGTTTATACAATATCCATATAAACATCTAATTAAGTCTTTATCTTTTGCTCATGTCTGTTTTGTTTTGAATTTATTTTAAGAAATATTAACAAAAATGCAATTTTGCATATTATTAATCAGCGTCAAATTTGGCATAGAACAGAGCTTATACAATTTTCATTTTTATTTGCAAAAATTAATTAATTTTTTTTTCATCCTCTTGTTGATTTAATTTTATAAAACTTATTAAATTAAATTTTCACTTTCCTTAAGAGTTCTCTATATCCTAACATAAGCTGTTTTTCAGATTCTCTTTATTTCCTTTTGCTTTGAAACAAACTCCAAAAAATATTTCTTAGTATCTTTCCATCTTAATAAAGGTTTTACTAGTGTAGCAGAAAAAGTAAGCTACCTAACATTTATAAAATTATAAAACAATGTTTCGTCTTCAATTAAAATGCAATCAGCTAGTATTTTAAAATCCTCTATTTTGCAGGATGCATTCCTCGACAGTAAAAATAATTCAAGCTTGAACATTAAGACACTTCTAACAACCTTTTATTCTTAATCTTGATTTTATAATCATTCTAATGAATGAAAAACAATATCATGCTTAATAATACTAACAATAAAATTACTAATAAAATCCTTACCATAAAGCAAGCATGTAAATCAAATGCAAGCTGCTCAGCATCCTCACCTAAAACTGTAATTTTTTTATTTAATGCATTAAGAACTATGTCATTATGAACTATGTCAAAGTGCAAATTACAAATTGTAACAAGCCATTAAAACCATTGCTATGAAGATGAGCATTTAATAAACATTCAAATGGCTAATTTAATATTGGGACCATCAGCTAAAATATTAAAAAGTTGATCGCATAGTAAAGCAAATCTTTCATTATGATGCAAATCTGCAAACATTATTTTGACATTCTGCTGTTGCTCTGCCAAAGAACAGAGATGTAAAATATTTTGTATAAACTTGGTTCACTTCTTCTGACCAAAAACAACATAAAAGATCCATTTGCTTTTTTTTCTTGCTCTGTTGTAGTTGTTTCATTAAAAATCAAAATTAAAGCACCTTGCTAACTACTATACACAGGTATTTCTCCATTAATGGTTTGAGGCCATCTTGGAATATATATGAAGCTTTTATCTACTAATACTAAAACATTGACTTATTGAGTTACTCATACTAAAGCCTTGACTATCTGGAAATATTCTTTGAAATAACAAGGATATATCAAGCTCATTTTTAGCTATTTTAAACAGCCACAGCTTCTGAAGCTGGAATTTTATCATTTATAACTAATTATATAATTTAGAATACTCTATTTTTACTATTTCTATCTCACAATAGAATTTTATTTAAATCTACAGATAAATGACAAGCTGTTTTTAAGATCTAATATCAGAAATGAATTTATGTTTAGGTTTTGTAGAATGCTGATAATGTGCTTAAAAACAGCTAAACTGTATTTCAAATTACTAAAACATAGTTTACAGACTAATTTTTTTAATTTTAATTTTTAACTTTTAATTTACTTAATTTAAATTTCATGCTGTATTTTGCTGTACAATGCTCTAATATCTGATGATATTGTTGGCTTAGCATAGGAACAGCCACAAATAGCCATAAAGACTAATCCAAAGTAGCTTTTGTTATTGACCAACAATTTGCATACCAAGTACTACTCAAGCACTGATTTAACGGTGACTCGTATTGCACAACAGTCTGGGTTTTAACAATTCGTTTGAGGCTCTAACAAACTGAGCTATCCATACGCATAATCAGAACTTTTTTTTCTCAGCCTATAGTTTAATTTTAAATAGATTTTTATCAAGTTTTTCCAGTCAAACCTCATTCCATTTAATCATTATGCCTTAGACCTATCTATTAACTAATCTATTAATTAATATAGACCTATTTATTGATTAATACACTAAAAATTACTTAATACTGAAATACTGAAAATTTTATTGTATGGTTTACTTCAAAATTTAGTTCTCAATCAATTTAACTAATTGAAGTAATAAAAACAATTTAACAATTCAAAAAACTGCAATATTTCAATAAAACTTAAAAAAAAATTGTATGAGAATAGTTATCGTAAAATTTATTTAAATTATCAAAAATAACTAAAATTACAAAAACAAAAAATTTGAAGTGAAATAAGCCTATACTTAATCTGAATACTTTAAAAAAAAAATAATCTAAAAAATTCGAAAAAAAAAAAAAAAATTACAAAAAAACTCACCAAAAAATGAAAAACAAAAATTAATAAAAAAGACTGAAAAAAAAATTAAAAAAAACTTTAAAAAATGACAACTTGACAGCCTATCATGATCATCATGATCATTATGATCATCATCATCATCATCATCATCATCATCATCATTATGATCATCATCATCATCATCATCATCATCATCACATCATTATCATCATCATCATCATCATCATCATCATTATCATCATTATCATCATCATTATCATCATCATTATCATCATCGTCATCATTAATTTAAAGCACTCACCATATTTTCCTGGTTGATTTGCAGTTCCATTTTCAGCTATTAATTCTATAGGCTCTTGCTCATTTTTCCCACAGCACCCCATTACTATATTTAATTTACAAATGCATTCTGCAAGAAATAATGATAAATTACTATTAATATTAAAATATAAGAGTCTAATTTATTATTTACTTTTTTTTATCCATTTATTTAACCATAATTGAAAAAATTACAAATTTTTTTAATAATTTTACAAAATTAGTTTCGGTGTCACTCGTATAGTAAAAAACTAATCATTGGAGTGACACCTTAATAAAATAAACAAATAAAGCAACAACAAAAAAATAATATAGGTAGCTACCAAAATAAAATAAAACAATATAAAAAGATGAGCAGTAATATTTAAAAAAAGCAAGACAAATAATACAAAAAAGGGAAAAAGTGAATAAGCTGACATGAGAGATAACGAATAAATGAAATAATACAACGTTTGACAATCAGAAGGATGATAGGAAACAAAAAAGAAAACAAAAGGATATTTTTAAGTATTATGATGAGACAAAAAAATAATAAATAACTTGAATAATAGCAACAATAATAAACTAAAGTTTGACTTAAGAGGAATTCGCATTAATCAAACATTCATTAAGTCAAGCCATTTTTATTGGTCCCTTAGAGGTTTGAGTTATTATTTTTTATATATTATTTACAATATAACATTGTATATATAAATTATTTACAATGTTGTGTATATATTTTATGTATGCACATATAAATTAAAGTATATTGGTGGACGCAACTTTTCATGAAACATTATTGATAATGTAATAGTAAAATAGCCATCTATAGAGGCTTCAGTACATATATTAACTAAGTTTGAGGCAAGTACAATCTAGATATAATAAACATTTAATATGGAAAAAAAACTTTAATTTTTTTCTTTCTTACTTCTTGTCTTTTTGTATCAAAAAGTGTTTGGATTGAAATTATAACTTTTAAAGATAGAAAAAAGATATAAAACTTAACATACAATTTATAATTTATGAGTTAATATGAAATGTAAAAAAATTGGATATGTCACTTCATGTATATATATATTATATATACATGAAGTGACATATCAAACTTTTTTATATTTCAATTAACTTTTTTATACTTCTTTATTAATTTCAAATAATATTCTAAATTAATTTATATAATATAAATTAATTTAGTGTATTCTACAAAGAGTGCAGGATAACAATTTTATGAGAAGGTATGTTATGATAATTTTTTTGCTATAATGTACTTTCACTTTTATTTTACAGCTATTTTTTTTTTATATCATTGGAGTAATAAAAATCACTTTAATGATCTTAAAAAAAAAACTCTTTGCTTGCAAATTATGTAAACCAACATACTCAATCTTTTTCGTAGTAAGTTAAAATGAGTTGTTACTATAAATGATTACAATTTTGCATAAACTAATAACAATTTTTGAATAAAATTATAACAATATCTTATATAAAAATACTTTACTTCATTGGACTAATCCTTATTTGAAAGAAAATCAAAAAAATATATGTGTTTAGACAAAATGCCAACTGAGCTAAAATTACAATCGAAACTGAAAACAAGGATATTTTGTTTTTGAACAAACCATCGTCATCAAAATATGACCTAATTTTTTAATCGGACAATTTTTCACTCATTTAATCATTATATAATACAGCTTAAGAAAGATAATACACAAAAAAGCAAATGGAAAAAAACGTACATAGCATAAAAAATTATCTCTAAAAAAATACATGTTTTAAACCAATTTTCTACCGTTATATTTTTCGTCTAATGAATGTAACATAAAATATACATAAATATTTGTTAATGAAAAGATTTGATACTTGTGTAATCTTCTGCGATATTCAAAATATCATAAATTAATTTATTTTGCTGCGATTCGCTTTTCCGGTTACTATAGACGCTGATATTCAATAGGAAATGTAAATTATACTTACATAACGTGAAAGTTATAGTTAAGTCGCGGTTATAAAATGTCGGTGTTATCTGTCGTATTAGATTTTTGTATGTATATCGTAGTTAGAGCTGAGACTATTAAACGTGTTATAAAACATAGAACTTGTTTTACAAAAACAGTAAACTTATGCGTTTCCCATAAAATTTTACCAAAATAAGGCCAACATAACGCTTTTCTAAGTAGTAATGAGGATATAGTTATAAAAAATGAGATAAATATTGAAATGGCAGGAGCAAGTTGTGTTTGTTTTGGTTATCCAGTTTCAAGTTATTATTTTGGATTGCATATATATTTCGTATTCCAATAATTATAGCATAAAATAAAGACATCAAGTGTTGATAAATGTAGTTACGTGACAGAGTTTGTATTGGTATAAATATGCATATTCAAACCATAAAGCTTATATTATACAAGCATATAAGTTATATTCTATATGAAAATACGTTATAGATGCAAACATCTATTGCGCCATAGCTGTGTAGCGCCATAGATGCTGTTTTAAAGTTGTTATTGAAAAAGAATTTAATCATAACCGAGTATGATAAAGATGGCGAATATTAGCGTTTTTAATGTGGTTTTTTATACTTTAATATCAAATTATAATACTTTCCTTAAGTTTTCAGACCTATGTTTTTATATGATTCTTAATATAATGTATTCTACCATAGTGTACGTTTTTATATGATTCTGAGTATAATGTATTCTACCATAATCAATCTATAAACGGGGTGGAGGGGGTAAAAAAAGTAGCTACTTTTCTTACCCTCCCTTCTCCCATTTTTATGATTGATTATGATAGAATACATTATACTGAATGAGAATCATACTAAAACATCGGTATGAAAACTTGAGGAAAGTACTCTTAAAATTCTTTTTCAATAACAACTTTAAAAAAGCCTGGTTTCTATTGATACTTTAATGCAAAACACATTTCTGATTGATTTCTGATCCAAACCCTAACCCTGACCCAAACCATGTACATTTATTTACGCCGATCTTTATTTGTCAGTCGATGTATGCATAGGAAGTAGGAACCCAGTCAAGACGCGATATCAATGTGATATCAGAATGATACCAAAACCTTCTCAAGCTATGATATCAAATAATGATATCATAGTGATATCATAACTTTGGCAAATAAACTTAATTTACAGCAGAATTTCATATATTAGTTATGAAGCTAAGTAAAAGTTAAGTTTTCCTCTTTTATTATCCAAATAGTGAGTTTTGATTTATGAACTCATATTATGATATCAAGAATTTGTCATGCTATGATGTGAAATACAAATTTCTTTACATTTGTTGGAAAGAATTTGTCATGTTATAATGTGAAGTTGCTTTACCTTGCCGGAAAACGTCTTACAAGAAACGACAATTATTTTCAAGATGGCTGAAAAATATGCGAAAAAGTATAAAAAAATGGTAAGACTAAGTAAATGAAAATTTAAACTTGTTTTATCGTTAGCTGCAATAAAAAAAATAAAACAAAAATAAATTGCATTTAAAACAATAAAATTCACAAGTAAAATATTTGTTTTTGATTACTTATTTTTAATAAAAATATGTTGCAGAATATATTAATAATATTAGGTACGTTTCATAAAATGTTTAAATTCATCAAATTCTAGGTTGTTATATATCATTAAAAAGAGCTTTATTTCAATATTCTAAAAGTGAAAAAAGTTTCAAATCCGAACCACCCTACAAAAAGTTATGATGTTTTAGATACCGATTTTTTGATATTAGAATTTGTTGAAGAAACTGTGGTCATAATAAAGTTTTTATTAACTAAAACAATTATAGCTTAATCAATTCTTATACAAATGTTTGTATCTTGGTATCAAAAGATAGATACAAGAGTTATCTACAAATTTATAAATGTTTCTGGATTACAGGCGCATCCGGGGGCAAGAGGGGGCATAAAACCACCATCCTTATCGGCAATAAAGACTAACTATATTTATAAAAAAAGTGTTTGTTTTTTTAATGAAAATGTAAATTTTTATATGCAAGATATTTTTGTAATTAGCTATCAGATCACAGTCAAGTATAGAAGTTTCATAATTGCCTTTAGGTGGATGTAAGGGTGAGGGTTTCAAACAACCTGTTATCAAATTGACTCCTTTTTTTTACAAATATTTATTTTCATAATTAAAAAGAAATCTAGTATTTAAATAAGAAATTATATTTTACTACTTTACAACATCATTAGCAGCACACTCTTTGTTTCAAGGGTTGTACATCAATGAGGGGCGTGTAGATAAGGGAGGGCCGTGTCGTTGCCCCTTCCTCCTTTTACCGCAAAAAAAAAACTATTTTTTTAAATGAGAGTCGAAAAAATAATTAAAATGTAATTATAATAACAAACAATAATATAAAAATATCTTTTAACCAAATTCAAAATACATTACACAATGCTTTGTGAGTTTTGACTATATATATATATATATATATATATATATATATATATATATATATATATATATATATATATATATATATATATATATATATATATATATAGTAGAAAAATAGTTAAATAAAGTAGTAAGATAATAAAATGCGTGTTCAATTATCAAAAAAAAAATGACATCTTATTTACATTCGGAAAACATCAACTCACCGGATACAATGTCAGCAACCAGCTGGAATTTTTTCATATAATAATCAACAGCATCAGAATCGTTTTCTTTTCTAGTCCAGTAAGAAATAGGATATATAATGCCTCTCTGTGTTTTTTAAGGTTTTTCTACTCTGCCATTATGCAAGACTTTCATTGCTGTATTGGAATCATACCATTCATAGCATAGATTTTCAAGCTAATTTAAAGATGTATGCGGGATATGGGGCTCATTTTGAAAATCTTGCGGGGGACCCAAAATTTGAAGTTTCGCTACTGAACGAAAGTGGTTTTTATTAGTACAACGAAAGAAAAAAAAACACAAAGATTTTCTATAATTTATAAACAAAAGTTGAACCTTAAAAGTTTCAATTATAAAAAATTGACTCTCAAACTATTCTAAGAAAAAAAACTGTTCAACTAAAAGAAAATGTACGCAAAGTCTTCTAAACAAACTGTATTTTATCAATTAAATCCAGATTGTTTTTTACCACCATGGTAGAGTTTGTTTCAAATG